GCTTTTTATGTCTAAAGTGATAGGTACTGCAGCTAAGATTTTCTGTGGTTTAGGATTGGCCTAATTCTGTCAGGCAAGGGAGATTTTACTGTTCACTTGAATAAGACTAGAACTAACATAAATTGTTTTGTTTTCTGAAGATTCAATTGCAGATCTACATAGATTTATTTCAGGATATTTTGATACAAAAGTTGTGTTCTTTACAGGGAGAAGGAGAGTTAATTTTCATGCCAGAATGAAATCCAGCAGCACTTTTAGGAGGGAGCCTTTTAATGGACTTTAAAAAAATAGCACACTGGCTATCATTGGTATCCTGTGCTGCTGCCTACGCATATGTAGTCATTTACACTTCTGTCAGGTGGAAAATGCTGTACAGAAGGCCAGCTGCATGCTACAGCTGGAAAAAGACAAACTCAATGCAAGGTGTAACTCAATGTGAAAACAAACCAGATAGTGCGTGAAATGCAACCACATTTTTCCCCTGGGACCCTGTAGTCTTTAAATCCTAACCCTCACAAAATGTAAGGCTTTTGGGCTGAAATAGACAGTGTCCCAAGCTGGATTGCTTTTGTTCATTAAAAAAAACCTTTTGGCCACACAAAATTTGTTGTCCAGTGTTTCTCCAAGGTCGAGTAAACACAGAAATGAAAGCAGGTGGAGAAGTCAAAACTCATGCCTGAGAAAGAAGTGCAGAGTATAGTGGGGCAAATGATGAGGGTTTTGGGTAAAAGATGACAATAGAGAGAAGTAGAGAAGTGTGAGGAGCTAGAGGAAAATACTAATATTAGCACAGATTTTGGAGGCAAGTGCTGGAATGTGTTAGTCATGTAAGAAGAAATCAAAAAAACAGAAGTGAGAATGTATGGGACAATGTTATATACAGAATATTTCCTTCCCAGATCTGCAGTTCAGATAGCTATGGGTCTAACTTTGGCTTCAGCTGCCCACAAAAGACTTGTGAAAGTCACTTTCAAATTGTGTATCTCAGTGCGTACAGGTGTCTTCAGGAGTTCAAATGGTGGAATTCTCTGCTGGGATTCTAAAGAGACAAAACTGTCACATACTGTTTCCTTTAGCCCCTTAATTTTAGGATAGTCTTCAGAGGATTCAGCATGATGAGGGGGGAGAATAGCACAGGGCACTTTCTTCTTCGTCAAAATTAAAGGATATATTTGTGAAGCGGGCAGGAGAATCACAGAAGAGAGGGAATGGTCTCATGTTTAGGAAAACTGGCAACCATGAGAACAGATTCTATCCCTGCCTTTGCTGATAAGTTCCTATTAAAGATGGCCAAATTGCTTTGACCAAAATTTTCCATTGGCCACTAAGTACTCATTTTTGGATTTTCTACAGTGGGCCACATTGGCAAGACTGCTCTTCCAGCTGCAGTTTGAAGTCATTGATAGTGTGCTTTGGACATATAAAATCCTGTAAAAATACTAAGTACTTAAGGAAAATCAGTACTCTTGTTTCTTATATTAGAAACCCAAAATACATGGAAACTTTTGCCATTTTTGCCCATTATCTCAATGCCTAACTTTATCCTTATATAGTAGGCATGATAGGAGGGGAAAAAGCCATTTT